GCCTATTTACCTCAACAACAAACCAACACACTGCACTTTACAATACAAATACATATGTATCCATATTGTATTATATTGCAAACTTCAGATACTGTCTGTTATAGTAATGTTTATTTGGATATCATTATTTCTGTATATTTTCACTGCTTTAGTTTTAACACTTTCATATTTATCTTTAACTGAGCTTGTTAAACTTTATTGCAAAGTTTCAGGACTGAATCAAGGAACATTTTACTACACGTTATACTTGTATAACTGTGTATGTGACAAAGAATCTTGAACCTTGAATCTAGATCATGCAGTTCTACACACTGTCCTTTTCGCCACCTAGTGGTTCAACGATGTATATACATCTGATAAAGTCAGTATGGCAAATATAATTTAACATTAAGTATAAAATGTTGCCTATAAAATCAGATTGATAAATGAAAATATTCTATTTAACATATAATTCTACATAAGCTACACAAATTAATAATAAATATTTAAATGTACATTGGAAGCGAATAAATCTATAGATAATGCAGAACTAATCTTAGTTGAATGAACTCTAAAGAATCAATTAACTTTAGCAGCTAGAAGTGTTGGGCATTTCAGGTCCAAAAACTACAAATCCTGACCAAGATTTTGGTTTGAATTAGTTGAGCATAAAGAGTTACAGTCACAGAGTACTCAGCTGGTTGGTAGAAACAAAATTTTGGTCTGGATTTGTAGCTTCCGGACCGGAAATGCCCAACACTGGTAACTACATACCAGAACCCCTTCCACAGAACATATTACTCCAGTCTGACAGCGACTTCGTTGGCTACCTGTAGATACCATATTGACTTCAAAATTCAAGACATAACACATAATCTTGCACCTCCACATCTCACTGATCTCCTTCACATCTGCACACTTTCCCACACCCACAGGTCTTCTTCCTCCATAAATTTCTCTATACCAGTGTTTCCCAACCCAGTCCTCGGGGAACCCTGGACAGTCCACGTTTTTGCTCCCTCCCAGCCAATCAGGAACACTGAATACCTGGTGCAGGTGCACTGGGAGCTGAGAGGAAGCAAAAATGTGGACTGTCTGGGATTCCCTTGAGAACTGGGTTGGGAAACACTTCTCTATACCTTCTGCCCATCTGACTACTGTGGGGTTCAGAGTATTCAGCTGTGCTGCTCCTCACTTCCGGAACTCTCTCCCTCAACATATCTGTCCCATTCTGTCTGATCCTGCCATTCCACTTGTCTACACTCCACCTGTCGGACATTTTGTAACTTTTTTGTTTTTTAAGTTTATTGTTTCACATTTTTTCTTTGATTGATTTAATAATTGATTACTACTATGTGTTTTATGTGTCTTGATATATTGCTGATTGTTTGCTATTGTGTGTTGTTTGATTTCACTCTCTTTGTAAGGCGTCCTTAAGTACCTTGAAAGGCACCTACAAATAAGATGCATTATTATATTGATAATATTAATTATTATATTAATAATAATAAAATAACAATAATAATAATAATAATAATAATGTATAGTTATGATGTCGGTCTCAGAGATGACCTATCTAGAACATTGACCAACTATCTTATTTAGAAAGTTAACCTGGACATTACCTATAATAAATCACAATTTAACTATGGGGATGGCAAGGAAAATATGACACGAATGACATTACATTTTTGAAAATTTTGCATAGGCAGAGGATACTTGTGTGTGGCTCTGTGGGTTAGGACTGTGCTTGTGATTAGAAATCTCACAGACCACTGGGGTTTGAAAAAGGCCCTTAACCCCAGCTGATCCTCACGTGTAAGTCACTTTGGATAAAAGTGTCTATTACATAGGCAAATGTTGAACTTTAGTAGCCAATTAACAAGTGATGCCAGTTAATCACATAATCAAACCCCAAAAAATTGCAATGTTGTAAACGACACCGTTTAATTTAGATGCTAAAATGCATTTCACATACATAGGAAAGACATTTTACAAAAATGTGAAACCAAATTTAAAGCTGTAAATATTGCAAAACAACTGGTATCAAAATTTTCAAAAAGGATTCAAAATCTACCACATTCAGCACCTTAGTTTGTATCCAAATACAAGTATTATTTACAGAACATCAAAACTATCTTCCAAATTACAGATGGATGAATACAAAAGGGAAAAACACACAAACTCCTAGAGTTATAGCAATGTTAAAACAGCTATATACATTTTTTCATTCATAACGTCTGAATGGGTATAAAAAAATCTACAGCAGTACTTTGTAGAAGTTTCTTTTTTTAACACAAGTAATTTAAACTGAATAAAACAGTTTAAGCCATGGTCTCAAGAATATTTGTTCTATTTCATTCCTGGATTTTTTTAGTGTAAGCATTTTTTTTTACTCCTTTTAGATGGAGATTTTTTTTTTTTTTTTTACTGTTAACCATATAAATAACAGACTGCCCTCCTGAATCTCTTGAAACTGAATCATGTATTACAATAGGTAACTGTTCTTATTTGACAATTATATTATCCATATATAATGCACATATGTATATCTACACACAAAGCCATGTGTAAAATAATTGTCTTAATTATTAACTATAGTTTTATCCATTGTATTCTTTTTAATTTTAAAGTTACGCCGAGCCTGAATGATTATTTTTTTTTAATCAGCCTGAGAGAGTTTGGAAAGGTCAGTTAACCAGTTATGCATTCAGAGCAAGATAAGAAGAATATCTGAAATTCGACTAAATCATCATGTCTTCTGTTTTTTATGTTGCTTCACAAGGTTGTTTAGTTCAGCAGTCGTAGATGCATTACATTCTGCAAGCTTTTACATCCAGGATAAAAAAAAAATAAAAAAAAACACCAACTAAAAATGTCTAATGAAATTCAAGAAATACAATAAATTACAGCTGCAAACTGCACAATTGGTACTCACCAGTTACCTCCCATTTAGACATACAAAAATAAATTTGCCCTGAGGCCTCTAATTACTAAAAGAATACAGCCTGAAAATTCACACATTACAAATTCTAGTGAAATTAAAGGTAGTATCTTTGGACTCTATATTTAGGACAGTAACTCCTCAATTACATAAATCTAATACTTTTCCAAAAATGTATTAACAACTGATCATATCTTAAGTGCCTTCATTCTTTTAACATCTCTCACAAAGCCCTGGGTCGAGTTCCTTCTTACTGTAGGCAATGTGAAATTTTGTAACTATCCCTAAACAATGAACAGATATATTTATTTACAACTCCCTAAAAAGAAACATTTGAAAGATTTTCCACAATTTTGTTTCTTAAAATACCACATTCTTTGCGTTGTGCCTGTTAAACATCAAGTTCAAACAAGGCACACTCAAAAAAGAAAGCTACATTTGTAAATACAGTAATCGAGTTTACGAACTATGCTGTAAACGCAAGCTCCTTTTTGTTTATGCTCCATCTTTGCAGACTGAACAACACTGAGCAGAAGTCATCAAGTTCCCTTAAGTGTCTGATGGCATCACTACCCAGAGCAGTTCAGAGTTCAAGGCCGTGTGCATTTTGAAGTTGTCAGTTTCAGGGCACCTCTTTCATGCAAAAATTTCAATGTCTTAAACTCCAGTGGCATCCGGTGTGGGCCTGCATTGGAGAAGTATCGATACTTTAGCTTGTCGTAGTAATGGTACTTCACTGGATTTCCACTGGAGTCTTTAGGAAAAGGCCAGAATCCATAAAGGTGAATTTCATTGCAGAACCGCGTTGCCAAGGTGTACATCAACAATCCAGTGCTGGGACGTTTGATATTCACTTTGTTTGTCAGCCAGTAGCTGGAAAACATAAGAGGTGAGATTTAGTTACAGTTTTCAATAAATGAAATGATACAGATACATAAGAATTCTTTAGTTCTCATATATCCCATCATGCTCTCCTTTGAGACAATTATGTGAGAAAGAGGTTTAGGGTCAGAGCGCAGGGTCAGCCATTTATCTGGCACCCCTGGAGCGTTTGTCGGGGTTAAGGGCCTTGTTCAAAGGCCTAGTGGAGATGTAACCATTCTGCTGACCATGGGATTTGAACTGGTGACCTTCCTATCACAGGTTCAGTGACTCTATACAGCCCATGATGAATACAAAAAAAAAAAAATCAATGTTATATTAAATAAACAAACAAACAAACAAACAAACAAACACTCTCCATCCATCCATCCATCCATCCATTTTTTAGCAAGTACATGCAGGGCTAGGCTGGCTGTGCGGCATACTGGGCATTTTCCTGGTGGGCCAATGTAGGGGATATGTGGGGGACCCCAAACAATGTAGCAACCCCCCACCCCCCCTTGCTTGAGGTTTAGATTAAAGCAATTCATCATATCTGCACATTAGAGCTAAATGCTATGTCACAGTCTCGGGTTCTTACTTTTAAAGCTGAAAGCTGAAACACATGCACATTTGATTAAAAAAAATTGAATGGCTGGCTGCTATGGCAACGCATGAAAACATCAGAAAATAAGTCATCTGAGGGGTAAAAATAAACCCACTAATAATCTAGAGTATAGACATTTTTTACTTGGACTATTTTTAGAGGTAGAGTCTGTTTTTGTAATTAATTTTCGGAAAAGCAGGGAAGTGATAAAATCCTTGCAGGAAGAAGTCAGAGACTGTACCTTGCACAAGAAGCATTTTACTAATTATCAGTACAGACAGTGGATATTTAAAAAATACGTTTGAGCCTGAAAAAGGGCACAGATGCTTTTATGACAAACCTTCTGTTCAGCAGAAGTCCAAAGAACAGCTTACTGTCCTCTAGAGGGCAGAAATGAGACAATGGCACATCACTATCCATTGGTAGCCAAAGTAATGGGCAACGGACCACATGTAATAAAATCGCTCCACACGTTTTCCCTCAGTACAAATGGTCTGAAATTGTATTTTTGTTCCTGCTTTCTATCCCATAACAGATGACCTACAATTAGTCAGTAGTCTAACGCTTCCCTTTAAAGTATATTTATATTACGCTTAATTGGTAGATGCTTTTATCCAAAGTAATGCGCAGTTGAGCAAACAGACAATCCCTGGAGCAACTGGGGTTAAGGACCTTGCTCAGGGGCCTGACAGTGACATCACTCTGAAAGGTGACATCAATCTGCCGACCACAGGATTTGAACTGACCAATGACTCTCCAATCATGGGTACAGTATCCTAACACACTAAGACACACAACACTCACATATTTCATACAAAACTGTGGTTTTAAGGTTTTTTTTTTTTTGAATGACAATACAAAACACTTTTGTTCGGAGATGCATCTACTGAGTTGAATACTATTACAGAAAATAATTACTGTTACATTAAGCAGTAACAACTGCTTATGTGCAGTGTCTGTCTGCAGTCAGCTGAGAGCTTACTGCAGGAAGCACAGTGCACTGGGCAGGTCACCCACTGCACGGGATGCCAACCTACAGATTTACACTGCGGGCAATATGCTAAGGGTAATTTTAGAAACACCAATTCACCACTGTGCCGGCTTAAATATAGAGACTATATAAATAATTTAAGAAAACAAACACAGCTTCTATCATAAATTTGCAACAAATGCATCATAAATAAAAGCCATCTATATAAAAAAATGATACCTTCTAAAGCCATTTAGCCATAAATCATAGCAATGTCACACTGCTAACCCTGAGTCTGCAGCAGTGTAGAGACCCACGTTAGACAGAAGCCGGGAAAAGCGCCCTTTTGGGGTATTATTTCCTGGGATAGATAAAGTAAGATTTTTTTAAGGGCATGGAGGCCATTTATTGAGCATTAAGATAATTAAGATGAATATTTAATAACACAATTTCCCCTCCATATTCACAATTTCAGTTATTCATCAGTTGGCCGTGAACAATAAGGATATTTTTGGATGATGCGCAAGACAAAAATATGTAAACAACTGACCCACTGAAAATGATCTGGATCACATATAATCACATACCATATAGATATCAGTGTTATTCAATATTTGTTACTGTAGGCCTAAGTGCAGACTATATCTTCATAATCAAGTTATTTTTGGTATTAAAAGAAAAAAATAATGGGACCTACGCATCTTGGCTTAGGACCATCTTCAGCTCCCAGCCACACTAACGTGTTAGCTGTCTATGCGACCGTGGAATCTCGCATTTCTCGCATTAACTTTTCAACTTTTCAGTTGGCGTTAAATATTAATTTTTAATAATGGACCCAAGTATTATTTGCAAATTTTCACATTTGCAGGGATATTCTGCCCCTAACCCTCTCGATTGTGAAGGGATGGCCATTATATCATGTGCACATCTACAGTGTTCGTGTATTTCATCAGAAATAGAGAGCAATGTTTCAGAATCTTTATTACGCTCCTATAGGTTGCAGAAAGTTTTCAGCCACATATATACATTGTTTCTTGTTCAGAGTATGTGAAGCCTCATAGTCTGTAAGCAGCTGAATCCCCTTCAGAATACTTCAGTGACTGATTGGACCGATTGATCCTGATGCCGCTGCACCTCCTATGAGCCTGAAATGGGCCAATCCTGACTGCAATGTGTCCCTAATTATTATTTCCTTACAGACATGTTTATGTGAAAAGAAAAGGAACTTAAACCAGACCAGGTGTAGCTACTTCCCAAATGTGGCCGATATCATCGCCTTAGACAGGTGCATCTTGGGAGTCAACAGAAAAAAAAAAACGCGATTAATACTGACCAACCAAAATAAACTCATAGCCCCTGACTGTCAGACCTGAATTATTTTATTACCATTGATAAAGCAGATCTGTACAATACACCCTGGCTAACTTTCAGTTTCACTTTGACCTGGACAGCTTCCTCAAACCCATGCTGCTGCAGGTGCTGGGTGATGCACTGAGCATCAAGGCAGACACCCTGCCAAGCTAAAAATATGCATTTTTGCTACAGAAGAGGCTCATCTATAGCTCGTCTGTTGTTTGCCTTGATGTGGCTAGATGTTTACACCTGCCTCGGCAGGATAACACACCACATTGCTAAATCTGAAGCACAGCCGGAAGAAGCCCACATAAAGAGATTTGCCGTTAGCATTCAACCTACACATGGATCGCAAACAAAGAGCAAAGAGGCCCTCTGAGCACCATCCATTAAGTTTTGTACGTTTATGTCCTCGGTTTCTCTACTGTAGTGTACTTCTGATTGTTACTCAAAACCTGTACACTGCACAGGTGAATAAATGCAAAGCATTATTATGAAGTATTAAATGCATTATTTTTCTTTTTACTGCCTGATACAAAATGCACTTTCTAAATAAAGAATAAAGCATGAATAAAGAAAATGGACAGTATTAGGTAACACTGTAGCATGCTAGGCTAACAATAAATATATGTTCTTTTGTTTGGCATCACGGCAAACCCTCATTAACAGCTACAGCCAAGCAGAGAGTGACCTTGAAATGAACGGCGATGCCAAGCTGGGCTGCAGAACGTTTTTTGAATTCATGCAGCTGTCTAGCTGCTCCTCTTCCTTTGGCGCGACGGCCGTCTGGCCGCCATACGCCGCGTCGTGGTTCGTGCACAGTTTTCAGGTCCTGTGCAGTTAAGGGACGACCCCGTCACAAAGAAGCACAGCATGAGGTCTCCAAAAAAAAAACAATCACAAGGGCCCCCATCCCTTGTGACCTCAGCTGCTCATCTCTAGGAAAGACAAAATCCGCCTTTTGGAGTATTTATCAAAAGAGTCACGGAGATCACAGACATCCTCAGGGTATTATCTGCGCCCCTGGACCCTGAGAATGGACAGCACGCCTCCACTTGGCATTTCATGCATTTTTATAACTTTCCCCGGCCTTTATAAAGAACAGACGTTTACCAAATTATCTCGCCCTCTAAGCACACAAGGCCGGCTAAGTATGTGATATTTGGTTCAACTTAATGTTGTCTCTGGCTAAATCTAAGACTAGATGGCAGAGCGTGTAGTAATGCCAGTGTAATTATCCTGAAGTATGGTGCAAATGTAAACGTGGCATTCACTTTTCACAAAGCTACTTACAAGCACTGCTTTTCATTGATCAGTATCCATGTTTAGATTGTTTATAGTTGATTTCTTTCTCTCTTTTGGTGCCCAAAAGCTACTCCTAAGCATTTATTTGCACCAGTGTCTTCGGAGTTTCCTTATACCTTTAGTTGACTGCCAATGAGCATTTTTTAAGGCATTCAAATTTAATTAATAGCCAGCATCAACGTGCTCTTCCAGTAAATACGTTCTCTTCACACATGCTTTCAGAGGCAAGTTTTAATAATACTTCAGAGCCCTCAAATCAAGGTACCACGCATCATATCGTGCCAGTTATTACCAAAACTGATAGGGCACTTACTAATCTCTGTCGAGTCACACATAAATGCATATGACTCTGTCATGCAAATACTGACCCTCTCACGGCATGGATGAGTCTCAGCGATGGATAGGCCGTCCTCAGCAGAAGTTTCCGATTCAAGATGAGCTCATTGACACCCTCGACGTGCTTTTCGCCCCCCTTCACCATGAAAGCCGGAATCCAGAGAATGCTATCGTTGAGCATGATCAGCCGCTGCACAAACCTCTCCCGGTCGCTCTCATTGCGGAGGCCGCCAAACGCCCTCTGGATGACTGAGGGGTTCATGGTGGTGAAGTCGGATCTCAGCCCCACGTCTTCTGAGAAGTTTGCCAGTGGAGCCAAGTTGCACCTGAGGGAACGTGTACAACGATGGAGATGAGTTAGATCGTACCTCGGCGACGGCTCTTCTCCCTATCACTCATAACAATGATACTCATTAAAAAGCATAGAGGGTTACAGTCTCGTAATTAAATGTCACCATGGCAACGCCACAGTAATTAGGACATCAGAATTGGCCGCTTTTATGTATTTCTTTGCAGAAAAAAAAAAAAACATTTATGGGCAGTGAAGATCTAAACTAGCATGATAAAGTCAAGAGCTAAAAGAGAAGTGGTCAATTGCTCTCTTTTCATGTTCAAAAGCTGCGCCAGCTGAATATATCACCTTATAACAAAATCATTGCTGTCGATTTCCTTTCCGCATCCACTGTTGAGCAAAACACCCGAGTTTCCAACCACAGCACATGTATTGAAGCGCCTGTTCTTCATCGGCGATGCATCAGGGAGTAAGCTGTGCAGCGTGTGAGAGATGTTGAGGGTCCTGCGTCGGTCCAGCACGTAGTGGATAATGTCGCCGGGCTTGAAATTGCTCTTCACCACGGAAACGTCTCGCTCGGCATCCAGAAAGTGAAGTATCTCTTTCCTTATGGAAAGAAATTTGATTAGCAGCTCACTGGAATGACTCACATTCATGACTTTTTAAAGCATTTGGGGAAAAAGGTTGAAATTCAGTAAATCCAAAAAGAACAGCACCAATAAAACTCAAATGCTAAATACTGACGGCGGAATATTAATTAAAATACACGTAAAGTACCACCTGGAAATTTTTTTTAAGACATTATTCATCTGTACAAAAAACAACAGTTTCATTTTTTCCACAGAGACAAAGAAATCATATATCCTGTGCGGTCAAGAAATGTTTGTGGTTTTTCAGTGAAACCCCGGAAAAAAGTCCAGGTTGTCTACCATGTTAATTATACAACAGGTTGCAAAAGATTCTTCCAAGAATGAGAATTTGGCACTTTGACTGTCTCCTGACCCTATTCTCACCATTAATTCATTTTTCATGATATCTTTTTTTACTGACACAATAATTTTTCTACAGTTCATTCCTTCTTGGTTATGACTAAATCAAGTGAGGCATTTTATATATACATACATAAATCCTCACACATATGCACCTGATATGCACAGGGTGCTTTGAACCTAAGGTAGTAAGTTTTAGTCATGTTAACCAAAATGACGAGACACATTGTAGATTGTAGGGCCACATGGTGCATGGAAATTTGCATGGTTAACATGCTGCTGGATTACACTATTGTGATTCAGAATCCATGAATTCAAAAGCAGTCAGGATTCACTATGGCATCCAGCAAAACCTCAACGTTCCCCCCCCGCCCCCATTTAATTGTGACAGGCTAAGCCTCACCTACTTCGAAAGATGGATCGAGGCAGTGTTCCACCCACACGTTTTCAGTTCTGAGCAGTTTTCATGCACCATGAGCTCCTCAGTTAATAACACAACGTGTTGGCATTTTTAAAAAAATCAGTTATATAAGAGCATCGATAACATCAGAACACGGTGTCGTTTTACTTTTCTGCTTAAAAGTGATTCAGGTACTTATCAGAAAGTCTCACACTTAAACGTGCTCACTGAAAACGTGGCGATGCTGAAATCATTAACACTTAATTATATATCACTCAATTGACTCATAGCTAATTAGGTATTTTTCCGTCAACAAAACGGAACAAAGACGCACTGTCTGCTTACCTAATTATCATCACCAGCGAGGAATTCAGCCTCCACCCAGATACTGAATGCTGAAAATATGGGGCCTTACCGAACGTCCCCTCGGAAGCGTTGCGCATCAGTCTTGAAGTGCTTAAAAAAATCTCTCTGAGGAGGCAAAAAGACACAAATATACACTCAAAAAAATGAAGCACTGGATATATAGACATGATTCTTTTGCCATTTGAAATTGCTTGCAGCCATATGGATATAGAACACAAAAAAAAAATCATTCAATCATTCACCTCTTTAATAGTTAGAGCCTTTACTGACATCTAGTCAGGTTTCCAAAAGTAGTCAGCGATATTCTCAACAGAGGCGTACCAATCCGATATTCGGATTGTTATCACCGCCGATGCAGACGTATTTAACGGATCAGGTATCGACCATATGCTACCGATCCACGTCCGATACTTACTTTAGTTTTGGCAGTCTCTAAAAAGATTGCTCTTATTTCGTTTGATTTGCAGAATCAATTGCACAGCAGCTCTTAGCCATTTTAGATATGTCCCCGTCATGCAGTAAGTGGAATGGTAACAGATGTTGCCCACAACTGAAGGAACAAACAGGTACAGCTGCAAATATCTGCACTGTGAGAAAAACAGAACTTGTTCCTGCTTGCGAAACACAAATGCATCCCGCAGTATAAAGTACCCACAGGGAGTCATGAAAATGCAACTTGGGTTCCCCACCAGGACCGGTTATGGTCTGCGGTTCCTCATCTACAGATTGACACTCCACAGGGTTACAGAAGTAGAGCACAGACACATATTTTGTGTCACTAAAGTGATCATGCGCATGGGTGGAAGTAGGCTGACAAAATGGTCAGCGTACGATTCTCAGGTTAATCCGCAACATCACTACCCAAATGACTCATCTATCGATATCAATATTAATATCAGGTAGCACCCTCAGTACAACAGCTCATCTATTTATGCTACTTCATGTCCATACAGGGTTTCTGGTGTTTTGTTATGTCCTGTGTTGTGTTTTATGTCCAAAATTTTTCATATGCCAATTTTTCTTCTGTCTACACTCTAGTTATACCTCAGTTTATATTTTTAATTACTTGTTATGCATGAATACACTGTTGGGACTGCTGCAAAAATTTCCCCTGTACTCTGTACAATGGCAATAAAGGAATCTAATCAGATCCACATTCCCTCCCATTAAACGAATGGCCACGGGTTCATTCTGGGCTTCTCATAGAGCATTGTGACATATTCGGAAATCACTGCGAAGTTTTATTATGAAAACTTCCGAGCCGCACAGCTAAGGCAGCTGTCAGCCCAATGCACAGGATTGCAGTAAAAAGAAATGTAATTTACCACAGAATGATACACAACCCTCCCAAGAGAAAGAAACAACATACGCACAAAGCACAAAGCATATATGCTGCAAGACAGGGCTCTGCTGTCCTAAAACAGCAATGCAACAAAACATTTATCATCAACACAGTACGAGAATCCAAGGAAACAAGTTAATTGTATAGTTCTGAAGCACCTAAATGCTCTGCTTGTTAACACAATACCCTCGGAATGGATTCTTAAGGTCCCGCGACCCTGTCCAGGATAAGTGGCTAGAAGATGGATGGATGGCTTCTTAAAGCTGACAAAAGGTGAACTTCATTTATAGTGTAGAGATTAGGTAGAAAATGCAGCCAGGAGAGCCACTCTAGATAACAGACGAAGATGGGGTAGAATCTTAAATAGGCCTTCTTAGCATTAGCGTTCTTGGATATAGAGATTATTACCACAACACGACAATACAAACATACTCACTGTAACAAATGCAACTACAGTATCCCTTTACTTCTCATCATTTCTGTATCGACACGAGAGCTTCCTTATATTCTTGCGGATTCTGCTTTAATTTCAAATTTTTCCAGCTTTAATTCTTAATTTCTTATTTTTCATGCCATTTCTTTACATGCCATATTTTCTCTTTCGAGCACGCCTCACCAAGATGGCGGAAAAGACATTACAGAACACGTGTACAGTGTGTGTTTGTGCGACAAATAAAACCTGAAACTCATGTGTATATGTACCATCCTCGTAAGAGTATTACAGTGGAGTACTGACCTTTTTTCGAGGACCCTGCAGTGAAATCTTTTTCAATCAATCAGTCTTGATTTTCCTTCAGAGAGGGTAGGGTCATTCCTTTATATTCCTTTTCAGGACACTCATATACTATTCACTTTTTGAACTTGCTTGTGCTGTGTTTACTCGTCTGCACTATGTGTACTGTCTTTGCACTATATGGTGGTTTGTGCACAATTTTTATACCTCGCTGAATTTTTATACACACACACACACACATTTTTATATATATAAAATACCATTCCACACAGGTGACCTGCAAGAGGGAGCCGACACACCATTAGGACACAGGCTGACTGCAGCTTGTGCTCGTTAGAGCTGCCCTGGACCACCAAGTGTGGTTATCTACAGATGGATCTCTCTTACTCTCCCAGAAGTACCCACTGGCCACTTGCCGACAACTGACACCTAAAGAGACATTATACCCAAGGGCATCAAGAGTCCAGAATAGACGACAGATGCTTGGCCTTCCAGAAAGACCTACGAAACCAGCATCTTTAGTAGGGAAAAGCCCTCCCTTGTTGTAAATATCCTGTGTGTACATGAGGCTTCACATGACATTTTACTACACGTCTATGAGGAATCGACAAACAAAGTTGCAATCCCCGTCTGAGAATCAGTACAGATATTAAATTTTCAGATCCCTCCAGCAGTCCAAAGACATGCAGTTAGGTAAACTGTCGTCACTAAAGCAGTGTTTCTCCACCCGGTCTGCAGAGACCCCCAGACAGTCCATGTTTTTGCTCCCCCCAGCTCCCTGCCAGACAGTCCTTATTTTTGCTACCGGGAGCTGGGAGGGAACAAAAGCACGGATGGTGTGGGATGCGAAACATCGCCAAGTCAGACACACTGGAGTGTCTTGTACCCCTTGCTGCCTGAGGTAGGCTGCAGCCCAGCACATGGTATAAGCATTTGGAAGATGGATATAAGATGTGATAAACGTGTAAACATACATCACACAGTTGACCCTTTTACACTGCAGGGGTTAGGAGCTCAGGCTCCCTGTGATCTGGAAAAACCGTGTAAAATGTTTGCTTTGCTCGCAAAGGAAACCAAAAGTGAAGCGAAAAGATGAGAAACGTGAGACACAAAGATAACTGTGGGATACAGAGATCACTACGATATCATGTTGAGAGGCTGCAGTAAACACGCTTAGCGTCCTCCAAACCAGCACTGTACATATATTTCATTCAATTATGAGTTACCAAATATTTAGATGCCGCGTTCCATTTGACCGTGGAACTCGGATTCCGAGTTGGATTCCAAGTTTTCAAGCCGGAAGTTTTGACATGTGCGCTCCCATTTCTCGGAGATCCGATCTCGGACAGCACAGAGGATCCCACAGAGAATTGTTACCTTGCATGCATCTTGTACAATGTAAGACATTGTAAAACATTGCACCTAGTGCTCAGTATTATTTGGAAAACATGATAAGTCATTTTATTAAATGCAGTTTGGTTTCCTGAACCTATTTTCGATTAAAAAGTAATACAACTTGACAATATTGTCCTAATTAGGATGCTTGGTTTGGAGAAGCATTACGTAAACCATCAGTTTAGAGAATATTCAAATGAAAGTAAAGCTCAAAACAACGATAAAATATGAAAAGATGGGCAGCTTTAAGGCCTCACCTTTGGGAGCTTCATACACATACAGCAATACAGCACAAAACAATGACATTTTTGACATGAGCTTGCATGCAAATCGAATAGATCCTCCTCACAATCAACGTTTCGATCTGAAGGTCGCAGAACGGCCTAGCCCCTCAATCAACTTTGAAGTAGATCTTGGTGTAGCAATTGCTATCTTGCTGTTAGCACTTATAATACGTCGCTCCATGGCTAAGTGTCTCTTCACTCTAGCCGTTTTGTTTTATGGTAAATGGTTCCCTACTTTTTGTACATTTTTATTAGCTAAAATCACAGCCTTTTTCAGTGTCAACCTTTACTTCATCCATCAGATACATATGGTGACATTTCTATCCTTACTGTTTCAGGGTCTGCTTGATGTGCATTCATTATAGACTTTCTCCTACTGCAATTAAAAGATCGAGGTGACATTTGAGATACATTTGGCATGTAATATCACACATTAATGACTGCAAGATGTTAAATGGATTCCCAATACCAACTATCAAAAAAGAAAGCAATTACAGAATATTTTATTTATCATTCAGTCTTAATACTTTAAAGGCATTCAGTTTACATTTGATATAGAAAGCAAACTTTGGAAAGGGTTTGTGCTATTAAAGGCAACTGCCGTAAATGAAGCTTAAATGTATCCATTTTGCGTCAAACGGCTCGACGGTTAGACTAATCTGTCTTTATAAGTTGAGGACTATCATTAACTGTCAATTTGGCATCACTCATCTGCTCTACATCCTGGAACAAAACAGTCATCAGGGAAAAACACTGAATTTTTGTTGCAGCAAATTAATGGCTTTAATCATACTAAAACTGGTACATTAATCAGCTACAGTAAGTAGGTGTGACCAGCCCGATTTGGCAACAGTAGAATGGCATATTTTGAAAAACATGTGATTGTTCTTCAATTGATGATAATTTATAATAACTACTGGAAGTCTTACATTTTTCATCGAAAAAATGTGTTCATAAAACAGATATTCACAGCCAAGCTAGGCAGGGAACAACCCAGGACAACCCATTGCAGTGTTTGGTAGAGATTAACTTACTTCATTCAAGTTTTGTTTTATCTCTGGGTCATAGACATGTGATTACAAAAAGCAGGCCTTTTAGATGGACAGAGCCATTGATGTTATTGATGAAAAAACAGAACCAGGCACCAAGTGACTGATGGAACTAAATTCAGGCAAAATTTTTAAATCTTCTTGGTGGAACAATGAACGACACAAAATGACCCCTCCGACCCAACGTGAACTTATGATGAAAGTAGAATCAGATCCAGCATCAAATCAGTAATTTCTGGCTAGATGCTGTTTCTACTCACCTACCAATCTTCAGCACCATTTTTACTCATGTAGCCTTGGCGCTAACGGTTCATTTGAAGTTTTCACCCCTTCTCAAGGTCAAAATTTATTTGTGGAAACAAGCAGTTTTTTTGCCATGTCGGAGAGTGCTTGCTGATAAGTGTCGACTTTCAAGCACTTACCATAAACAGCACCTTGCACAGAATTAAGAGAAAAACATTAGCAACTGATGATTGCTGCACAAGCCTAAAATCATTAGGCTTTGTGTTACTGAGCGGTGTGCACCTCTAGTTTAAGAATCTGTGTGTGTGTGTGTGTGTGTGTGTGTGTGTGTGTGTGTCCAGAAGGTTGCTGGTTTGGATTTGAACAAATTTGTGCATGAAGTATCATTAAAGAAAAAGCCTGTAAATCAGTAGAAACCTCATACCCCCATGGACTAGCCCTGCTGGTAACACAAATATGCTGCAACATTACAGCCTATTGATAGTAAAAGCCAATAAAACTACACCCAGTATATAGCCTCCCATCCATCTTCCAGCTACTTATTCGGTACAGGTTTGTGGGGGGGGGGGTGGCAGCAAAAGGCCCAGGGCTAAGCTCACCAATGATGGGATGCTCACCTTCACAGCCCAGTCAGACGAAGAAGGAGCTCACTGCATAGTTACATCATAATATTTATTAAAGATTTCCTCCAAGAGATTTTAGTCAGCTAACACAATTACCCTAAACTGTGAAAGAATACGAACAATGAGTGTCAGTCTCCGTCATTGGTGTGGAAAAACCTGACAAACATCCCAGGCTTTAGCCAAATTACAAGATGTCCGTCCGTCGGTGTTATTAGTCAATTAATATATGACAAAACGACCAATAACGATTGAGATTTCTCTGTCAAGGCTCATAAAAAATCATTCAATGACAGTAATAGACCATAACCTGAATCCCACCCATAATTTCAGAAACATTCTTTACATACAATTACAATTGTGAGCATAAGGAAGACAAATATAATTACAAATTTCCAGACATACTTCCAGTCAGACTGGCACATTCTCACTTTGGTTCAGTTAAATATGGAGTTCTGTAATTATGTCAAATCTGCTGCCTGTTGCCTTATTTTCCCAATGCTAATTCTGCTCTGTTCAAATAGGTCAAGTCCATTTATGCAAATTTCACCAAGGGGTCTGCTGTGTTCAGCCATCACCATCAGGTGAAAAAACCTCAAAAAATTCCATGGTCACTTAGCATTACTGGCCTGGTTTCCCCGACTTACGTTGTGAGAAAAAATAAATGCTGTAATAGCCTTTCACTTCTCCATGAACCAAGTAGGAAATGTTACATTCTGGATAAAAGACAGAACTGCTTATGTTGACCTTACAGCCGGAAAGGTCATTGGTCGAAACCTTGGAGGAAGGACGGAACGAGAAACGTGGTTCAGCCCGTGGTTCCTGGCATTTAATGATTACGGCTCTGCTCACTGGGACCCCAGTTGTTACGTGACCCAGTTACACATAGTGGTGAGCCTGGTGTTCCAGCGGCACTGGCGTGTTGATGGTAGGTGGGAGGGGGCTGTTCTCCTCGATACGAGAAGTGTCACGACTCATAGCGATTGTGGCGTGCAGAGAAGCAGCAGCAACAAGAAACTTACATCCACCGGAGGGGGAAAAAAACATGCAAGAATAAGAAAAAAAATTCTCAAGACAGATTCATTATGAAACCATGTAAACTGCTCTCAATTTGTACTTTGAACAGTTTGTACTGCACAATAACAGGGCAACAAAATGTATTAACTAATTAACATTTACTTACATTCAAAATTTAACACAGCAGAAGTAAACAAAAAATAAAATACATAAACTAGTTAATCTCTAAGCAAATGCCATATTGCCATAACTTGTCCCTAGATCCTGCCTCGGCAGCCTGGTTATGGTGAACATACAGTACTGTATGTGACCCAGCTGTGATCTTGCATCAGACTGGACGCAGTTGTCAGTTCAAAGGGAAGACCACAGTAAGGACCCATGGGCTTTGGCACAAAGAAAGTTATGGTTCCTCATTCGGCACACCACAAGAAATTCAGAACACTGGGCGGATGTAAGCCGGTAGAGACAATTCACCACGTACACCAAGGTTTAGCGAATAAATTATGACATGCACCAAACCAATTCATTCCTGCTTTAATGCTCATCATAAGACACACAAAACCTAAACTTACAAGGAAACTATGGAACAAGGAAATGTCATATGATTCTTTGCATAGAAAAGCCAGAGCAAAATGGACACAGACACCTATAACATGACAAAAGAGAACTGATGCATCAACAAACTAGGTTTCCTGCAAGTCTTGGTGTAGAGTATAAATGACAACACAGCAAGCAAAACATACACCACTGACTTCATTACCATTATGTTTTAAAAGGCCAGTCAACACTAATGTAAGGGACAAGCAAAATCCTGCTTTACTCCCCCAGCCTGACAACAAATTTTCCTGAAGACACATTGCATTTGAAAACCCAGTGCGTGAGAACACTGTGACTTAAATGGTCTGTATCAATGAGTAACATATTACAAGTAATCTCTGAAAAGCCCGAAAACGTCACAGCGCAGGGCAATGTTAATCCTTTATTGTAGGTATATACATAACAGGCTTTTTAATCTAAGTATTCTAACCACAGATGCAGTTTCATTCTTAAATGTATCAAGATTAAAAATGACATGGTAAACAGAAATGGGGACTGGCACCAAAACAATCTTGTCAGTTAACTTGTCGGGCAGGACATGGTTTCCTGTTTAACATGTGCTTAGAGTCTGAAGCGACGGAGAGAGAAAAAGCACAAAACCACAGGTCTATAGTGAAATCTTTCTGGTGCGTTGGGTCTGTCTCCCTCCAGACACTGCTATGCTGATAAAGCTTGACATATTCTCCTTTCAGTCCTTACAAAGTGAATATAATTCTATGGTGTCACAACAGAGTCCAAGAAAACTTTATTGGAACTGCTGTGTGTAGGGTGGGGTGGGGGGGTGAACATACAGATATATGATTTAAGTAGACGAGTAGCACAAGTGAAAATTAACACAAACTTCCGATATACTTGACACTTCCGGTGCAAACTAAAAAAAATTCAGATGGGTAAATCCAAACTAGACATGTTCACACAGGACACAAATTACATTCCTTCCTTGAAAAAACATCCCATGAGCTTGCAGTGCACACCCACAAATCCTTATCTTCCTCAATATAGTGAATAATGACAAATATCTGAAGCACACCTACATTGACTGCATTTGTCTGTCAACAGCCCTCTGGTTGGTTAAAAGCACTTAAGGATACCGTATCTGTCGCAAAACTTTGAGATTTCTAAAAAAACCCTTATAGGGAAGCTGCAAAAAAAAAAAAACATTCAGCTCCATGAGCAATAGTTAAAAAAACACACACTGAAAAGCTTACATCATTCTTACACCAAACATTTTAAATGCAATTTCAAGGGTGGAAAGAAATATGACTTGTTTAATAAAATAATGGTTAAATTGTGATTACGGCACTGGCGATTCACCTTGCAGCTACCTAAAAACCTGTCTGCTTCATTTGAACTGCATCCTTTTACTAAAAACATGATCACAAACCGTCAATAAATTATTTATGACCGACAGAAAACTGGGATATGGCATTAAAATTGCTTTCCCTCGGGTGATTCGGAAGGGCCAATTGTCGGTGTGATAACTGATTTTAAATTCAGGGCAAACAAAGGAAAATAAGCATCCATCCCAATACAATTGCCATGGGCTGGACCACTTGCAGGGTCCAATTGCAAGACTCTACACTGAAATAGGCTACACCTATCTATATAACTTCAGTTTTCACAAAGAAAACGTAGGTTGGAGAAGAAGCACCGGTCACAAATAAAATTACAGGCGGCAACAGTGATGTTGTACATGCATATCAATAGTGTCGGCATCATCTTGCTCTCTGTATTACCAGAAGCTAAAGAAGGTAACGTTACCCTGCGAGTTGGGTTTCCTGATGTTCCTCACTTCTTGTTATCTCTTTTGTCTTATAGAAAATCAAGAGAATACTTATAGTGCAAATAGTCCACCGTTTCCGTGAAAGGCGCATGTCTCGGGCGGCGTTTAATGAGATCCTTTGGGTGAGATTAGTCAATTTTGAGCCTTTTATTAGCCAGATTTCTCCCTCCGCTGTGGCACGCTCCTTTCTGTTGCTCGCATTACCATGACTTACTCAGCAGCTGCACGAGAAGCCCAGCCTGACATCCCGCTCCTGATTGACGTGTCATCTGTCCAATCACGTCCGTTAGCAGCACGCATGCAAATTAGGACGATATCTTGGCCAATGACACTAAGCGACAGTCCGCACTTTGTGTTTGAAGTTATGTTAGCGATAGTTGCATCGGTGGCACATTAAGCGTGTCTAGACTGAAAATGAAATTGGAATTAGGATATGCGCAGAAAATTCCTTAAGCCAGTTTCGTTCGGTGTATGCATTGCGCTGAAGTTAACTAACTAGTGATTTACCGGGTGAATGCATGAGTTAAACTACATCAATAGATTACATACGATAGATATTGGCAAAATCGCAAGGAGGCGTTCCTTTGTTTTGGATTGCATATCTGACGAATTAAATTTTTTTTTGGTTAAAAACTTGTGTAACAATGGTTAAAAACATGGCAACTGCAATGTTATAATGTAAATATTAATCGAATTTTAAAATGCGTTGTTGTAACAGCAGATAGCATGCATTTAAAAACGCAATCTGAGAGCAATAATTTAATGTGTATGATCCTAACAGACAATGGAAAGCCTTAAACTAAAGATTATGACCGGGGTGCAATGCAGTCTTTCATGGCAGACAGAGCAGCCAGGCCCACCGCACATATATACCTACGATTTCACCCAGTGAGGGGATCTCTATGATACATCTTGCGGGCGGGAGTTCCCTATTATTTCTGCCGCTCCGCACCCCCCCCACCTCCCCACCCCCCGCGACCCCGAACAGGACAAGCGGTTACAGAAAATGAATGGAAGGTTCCTTATTATAAATTTTGTCTGTCCACGAACCCATCAGCTGACTGGGAAAATGCCGGGTATGCCAGATAGCCAGTACAGGCTTCATGGCAGGTATAGACAGACAGACAGACAGACAGATGAATTAAGATAAAGCTGTATACGAATTTGCCGTAGAGAAGTCTACTAATTTCGTTGAGCATCTTTAGATTATTATTTTTAGAGGGCCATTATTGTTCTGTTTGTGCAGCCTCTTCAGCTGTTCCGTGCCATTGGCTGTCCATAATTTTTTTTTAAGTATCCAATCTGCATCTCTGTCTGATTTTCTGTGAAAGAAGGTGTTTCTATAGAAATGATGGCTGTTTTTTTTTTTTTAATTTACTTGAAAACACAAACTATCAACATCAGACTGGTACCTCTGCTTTCGAGTTCATTATGTCTATATGGATGGGAAGATTTTTAAGTCTATGGACGTGCAGAGGGGGATGAGTCGTGCATGTCTCTGGTGGACACTATACTTCTGCCTTTCATTTGGCAGGACTGGCCTCACCGTTGCCATTCCCCATGTTTACACCAAGGTTGGTCAATTAAAAACTACCACCAAAGCTTGCCTCAAACAACAATCACTGAAATTTATAATTATAATAAACAGAAAATGCAGTTTCAGATCTTGTTTGCAATTTAAATCAAATTTTAAATGATAATATTGAATCTATGGAAATGTTTTTTAAGGGCTATCCCTTTAAGCCAAGATAATTGAAAAGGCCAGTTCAGTTTTAACTGGTTATTCCATATCAGGATAATATATAACAAAGACGGGCTCATGCAGAGAAAAAAGAGAGGATTAGCCTTCTAGTACATGCTGATCATGGTGTTGGATGAAATGACAGGTGGAACAAATAGAGGAGAAACACGGCTTAACTCAGTGGTAAGCCGTAACAAGGCCTGGTGAAAAAAATAGGAAGACAACTGGAATCTGGCAAGGTGAACTGTGCAACAGACAAGCTTAAGAGAATGAAGTATGAAAAAAAAGAGACGCATCATCGTTATCATATGTTTGGATCAGGTGAACAAAAATACTTTATGATTATTAACCAGGAAACCATGGGACACAGAAAAACAAAAAGAATGTGTATGCTGAAGGGCTGGGAAGATTGTCGATTAGAACTCTCATTTAGTCAGGAAATAGTAATAATATACATGGACCGTTTTTGAGGTCAGGTCAAGTGGTTCAGTGCTAGCCATGAAACTAAAAGATGTTCTGTGAACAAAACATGCAAGAACAAAACACCAAGAGACTTAGAAACCACAGAAAACACCCTAAATGCCATGGCAACTATCCCCCTTCCCCTATGTGTTCAACCAACTGACTTTCTAATCTCTGTCAGAGTCCTCTCACTGCAACTCAAGCCAACTGGTACACTCTGTTTACAGTGCTGGACAAGCTAGTTTTTAATTTTCCTGTGCAATGATACTTCATCCTCTTAGCTTGTAATATTCTACAAGCACTGAAAGGCAGACGTTTGTAGCTAGTGATGGACATTGATTATATGTTTGGTGTACAGCTTTGGTTTCTAAAGATTTTTGAGTTTCTTTTACAATTTGTTACTATTAGAAATGATGGATTCATTTTTGGTTTGACTTTTTAAATAAAGTAATGTGTTGCTTTACTGTCCCAAACATCTTATCTGTTCTTATGACAGTCTTCCATCCCTTTGTGCAATTACAGCACCACACAATAGCACATCTATGATACTGCATCTATAGAGGGAAGTGTAATTTGATTTATGAATACATGTGATACACAGCTAACTGTGTGTTTTCAGGAAATTTCCATGTTCTCTATTCTACCATCAAACATCCAGTCACTGGGGGGGAAAAAATCTAAAATGCCACAAGAGTGAGTCATAAAATCAATTAACCTGTAAATTTAAGGATGTCCGACAAACACAATGAAGGATTAATGGAGAGGCAGATGGACTTGAGCAGAATTGTCCTTTTCTGATGCTTCACAGCCAAGACTGACAAGAGAAAAACCCAAGGGGGTGCCATAAATAGAGCAGGAAGACCTGCAGGCGGGAAGGAGATTGCAGATAGCCACTCGGCCCTCACCGCCATGGATTGCCACTGATTGGCTCTGCTAGTCTCTTACTGTGAACATTCAGTAATTTACACCACGGCTTAAATTTATCTCACACATGCTATGATGAGCACACCTGAGGGACATTAGATTAATTACAGAAACATAAACAGTTTGTTCTAAGAAAGCTAATGATAGCACCTCTCTACAGAAGAATCATTTGGTTATTATATTCTCTTCCTGTACTAAAATAGTAACAGGCATTAGTCTGTTTGCTTAATTAAAGGTCTAGTGATGTGTATAACCTTAACAAACATTAAATTATATGCCAGTAACTGGTCTGACTGCTTAATCCTCCTTGATAAAAGGTATCGCTCATGAACCATAACATTGTACTTCACTGCAGGAGGTAAAGCATCGCTTATAATTACACTTGGTTTAGAATTTACTGTCTTGCACATCCATCTGTCTGTATTTCACAGCCACTTATCCAGCATAGCGCCATTGTTCACCTAGAGCTGATCCTGGGGTTTGAGCCTTCTGATCATAGCTGCAGCACACTACCCACCCCCCGCCCCAAAACATACTGAAGAATAATGACATCAACATCAGAAACCATAACAGCTATATAGCCGGGTAACGATACTAGTCATTAAAGCTCCTCATTTTGCACCAGTTTTCCTCCACATCTCCAGTAATTGCAGACGTTTCTGATGCATCTTTCCTTAGAAATACTTAACATCCTTCCTCCTGCTTTCCACCACCGATAGTTGAATAGTTAGAATATAAAATGCTTTATTGTAATTCATGGTACACATCCTCTGGATAGCCTTTGCCCCCCGTTCTGAACTTTACAAATGCTCCCAGCTCTGCCATGCCATGTTCAGTTTAAATGTCCCGACTATTTAAGTGCTGTTTAAATTTCACTGAGCGACTATGTCCCTCTGGGTTACCCAGAGTCTGTCGCGCTTGAGGAGACGTCACCTCTTCCCCAAGGACTCCCAGTATTGTACAGTTTGATACTTGCTACATTTAGTCTTAGCTTGTGGTTCTGATAAAAAGCGGCGTACAGCGCTGTGCTGGGGATCGTCCGGGTCAAGCATTTTGTCTGAGAGGTTCTCAAACGACTGGTGACAATAAACGATGGTAGCCGGTCTCCAGGAAAGCAATTATCTTGCAACCCACAGTTTTCTGTGCTGACATTTGTACCTGTTTAAATCTGAACCTGGTAACCCAGCATGACTCCAAAATTGATGCTACACCAAGAGAGATAATTACTCTTCTTAGTTAGCAAATAAAGTACTGTTATTTTCAACACTTGCTCTTTAAACACTGGTGCCTAAAAGACACTGTGTAATAGTACAAAGCACACTGACTTTTTACTGAGTCACTATTCGGAGGCTTGCAATCAATTTGAGCTGAAGAAACTGAAACACGATCTGGTTGGATGTCGCTTTTTTGGTTGCAGATGAAGAAAAATCCCTCTGTGACTGTACTTGTTCCCTGTAAGCTTAGAATGCTAAGAGAGCTTAATAAATAGCCATCATTTTGCGGTCACTTTTATCCTAAGCAAGGTAGAATCAAGAAAGCAAGGTCAACCAATTCCTGGAGTAACTTGGCATAAAGGCCATGCTAAAGCCCCCACCCCCAGTGAATTCACGCTACCAGCCATGAGATTTGAACTGGTGACCTTCCAATCACAACTGTATCTTCCAGGATAGGCTCCAGACCCCCACGACCCTGCATAGAATAAGCAGGTATAGAAAATGGATGGAAAGACGGACTTTCCAACCAATGAGCCACATACCAGCATAGCATGTCCATGGCCAGGAATGAATTTCGGGGGGGGGGGCAGTGCGACAGATTTTGAGGGGAGTTCCAACTCATTATTTTACTACAAAAAACAAAAAAGTTTTGTTTTGTTTTTTTTTGGGGGGGGGGGGGATTCAGATCCGTACTTTTACTATTTGCCCACAGGTGTAACTTGAGGAGCATCCATTTGGCCTCTTTAATTTCACTCATCCGGCTGTACAGATACACTCATGTGCATCCAACCATTGCATTCTGTTAGCACAATAGATTACAGCTCATTGCTCCCATAAAAGCAGATAGTTTCGCAATGAATGTGTCTTATCTAATATCTTAT